TCCATCCATCCATCCATCCATCCATCCATCCATCCCTCCATCCATCCATCCATCCATCCATCCATCCATCCATCCATCCATCCATCCATCCATCCATCCATCATCCATCCATCCTGGTGTCCGTCCATGCCTGACCCGTGTCCGTGTGTCCGTCACAGCCAGAACCAGAAGCTGGAGCTGGAGCTGGAGCGGCTGCGGGCGGAGCACGAGGCGCTGCGGGCGGAGGAGCGGGCCAAGGCGGCGCGGCTGCAGGAGCTGACGTGAGACCCCCAGGACCCCAACCCGGGGCCTCTGGGGCTCCCCCGGGGACCCCAACCCAACCCCCGGGGCTCCCCCGGGGACCCCAACCCAACCCCTGGGGCTCCCCTGGGGACCCCAACCCAACCCCCGGGGCTCCCCACATCCCCCTGGGGACCCCAACCCAACCCCCAGGGCTCCCCTGGGGACCCCAACCCAACCCCTGGGGCTCCCCCGGGGACCCCAACCCAACCCCTGGGGCTCCCCCGGGGACCCCAACCCAACCCCTGGGGCTCCCCACATCCCCCTGGGGACCCCAACCCAACCCCTGGGGCTCCCCTGGGGACCCCAACCCAACCCCCGGGGCTCCCCACATCCCCCTGGGGACCCCAACCCCAGAACCCACCAGGGACTCACCACAGGACCCCCAGCCCGTCCCCCATGGCCCTGCTGACACAGCAGGAACCCCAAACCCCAGGACCCCCAGGACCCATCCTTGGCACCCTCAACTTGACCCCCAGAGCCCCCCAGGACCCCCTGACATCCCCCAACCTTCAAGCGACCCCCCCAACTTTGGGTTGCTCCCCAACATCGTGGTGACCCCTTAACCTTGGAACGGCGCCTCCGTGCTTTGGGTGCCCCCCTCAAGCTTGAAGTGACCCTCCCAACCTCGGGGTGCCCTCCCGTCCTTGAACTGACCCCTCCAATCTTGGGGTGCCCTCCCAAGCCCAGGGGTGCCCCCCGGCATTGAGCCCCCCTAATTTGGGGTCCCTGCCCCCCAGGCTCCTCTACGAGCGCCACGAGCAGTCCAAGCAGGACCTCAAGGGGCTGGAGGAGACCGTGGTAGGTGGGGGGCCTGGGGGGCTCGGAGGGGCTGGGGGGGTCTGGGGGTCCCCGTGCACCCCCTCACCCCCCCACCCCCAGGCCCGTGAACTCCAGACCCTCCACAACCTGCGCAAGCTGTTTGTTCAAGACGTCACGACTCGAGTCAAGAAAGTGAGGGAGGAAAAGGGGAAATGGGGGAAAAAGGGGGAAATGGGGGAAATGGGG